TCATTAAAAATGACAAAATCTTTGCTTTACATCACACCTGGGCAGTGACCCGAACAGAACACTGTCACCGCTTCCCAGAGATTTAAAGGCTGTACAGCTTTATGGAATTAATGATGTAACAGCAAATTAACCTTCTTATTGTTGTTTTAGGCTTTTTGCCTCTTCATGGTTGATAGTTTCACATATTTTTCATTAACTGATCACAGTTTTACTTATTGCAGTGATAATTAAAGTTCTTATTACATTTGATAACCAAATTCAGATTCTAAGGACCTATTTAAAAATAAAATCAGCAAATATTGTGGGGAAAAAAAAAACGTTTGGAGTATTTGCCAAACTAAGAATTAGAAAAACACCAGGATACTTCATTTTACCAACCCATACATCCTCTACCTGCTAGCTCTAGATAGGTTTGTGGGGGAATTAAAGAAAATTATTAAACATAATAAAACCTGTGGTCATATATGATAATTAAGAGCTGCTATAGTTAATAAATAAGCTCTGGGGGTAAAGGATGCAAGGATGTCTGGTGCAGCATAAGACACTAAGATACAGTACTGCCCATAATCCATCACACAGAGTAGGCATTATGGACATTATGCATTATGATTATCTCACTGCTGTGATAATCTTAAATTTCAGTTCAGTGCTTCGGCTGCAATACTATGGTTCTGCTGAATAAAAATAATATTAACAATAGATAGATAGAGAAGGATGAGTGTGGAGCAGCCTGACTTATCAGACTGACACTTTCAAAGGTGGAGATTTCCGGTCCAGAGAGTACAAATCCAGACCAGGATTTTGTTTCAACCAATCAGTATAAAGAGTCTCAGTCACAGTGTGCTCAGCTGGTTGGTTGGAACAAAATCCTGGTCTGGATTTGTACTCTCTGGACCGGAAATCTGTAACTCGTGCTCATTTACAGCTCCGTGTGGCTGTGTGATAAGGAAGATCAGGAGGAGGATGTTTAACCATTTTATTCCAATAAAGGAGTAGAGAAGTTAGGAGAATGTGCCAGACCTGGACACACTATGCGCTGGTGTTCATCAAAAGGAAACAGTGAACTCTCATGAACTCGTGAAAAAAAGCCCCGGGCCGGGGCTGGAACTCCTGCGGCTGTTTGTCAGGGCAAAGACGGTTCTTTTCACTTGACCGTGAGAACAGAAGAGTCAGCAGAGGTTGGAACAGAAGACCTTCTGAGATCAGAACCTGGTTTTGGATGATTATAAGCAGAAGCAGGAGCCTGGATGGTCCTCAACTGCTCTTCAACTATCACTGGCTTTCATGCAGCTGCTCTCCCCAGCTGGAATCCAATATTGTTCCAGAACTTTCTTTCTTCTTCAGACTAGGAGGTGTACGGGTCATTTGAGGTCAGTAACCTCAAGCCTCAGTGACAGTGGGGGGTGTAACCAGGGCCATGATTGATGTTTCCTGGGTGCCAGTCAAAAAATAATTTTGCGGCACCCTGCCCCCTTTAGTGTAGTGGCTATTTGGGGCCAACAGGGGGCCCCACACAAATGCCGGGTTTGAGCGGTGATAAACTCAGACTTGAACATCCTGCTTTGCCTTTAAGGAGCCGCAGCATTAATCATGATTTTTAATGGTTCTGACCCAGCTGTCGATCCGCCGTGGATGTTCCAGCCCCCTGGTTCCACATCTGTTTATGCCTCCTGACCCGTAACTGCCATCCTTACATCATGCAGGCGGTACGACAGCAGCGGGCCTGATATCCTCTTCATTATTTACCGTAGCGATGCAGAGAACACCAGCGTGTTCCCATCCCAAAAACACTGCGTGCTCGTTAGTCGATTCTGCCGGGTCCCCCGAAACGTGCCGGTTCTGAGTGCAGCCGGCAGATGGCCGCCCGTCATCTCTGACACATGTGGGTGGTTTTGTAAGCAGAAATGAAGCGGCTGCTTCCCCCACCTCCTCGGTTCTCGTCATTCGTTATGCACACTGAATGACAGAGTGTCCCATGGAGGACCCCCCCCCCTCCAGGTCACGCAGAATGTGTTTCTTCAGAGGCGAGAAGAGCTTGGGCAAAACGGAGCTTGGGCAGCCTGCCGCATTCCTGTGTTTCCCTGATGACTCTCACTGTAGGCGGTCCCCAATTTGTCGTGCATCACAGAGACCCTTCATAAATACGGCCCCCCGTAAAGGGGCGGGTCTTTTGAAGGCGGGGCTGCCAGCCGGCCAATCACACAGCCCTGCTCTGCTGCTGCTGCTCCCGCCCTAAACAGCACAGAGAGGTGATGCATGCAGCAGTGACATTAAACTCGACGTTCAGCTTCCTGGAGCGACATTTAAAAGTCTCACTCCGCCCCAGGCGATCTGCAGCTTCTACCCCCCCGTCCCCTGTCAATCAGCACGCATGAAAATTCATCCTTCCGGGGTTTGAAACAAGGAAAAACTCAACAGAAGCAAGATTTGGGCCACGGAGAGGAGGTGGTTCCGGCAGTTTCCGGTACCGTCCTCGAGGTATGAGGAAAGTGCTGAATCCGGGTAACGGGTGGCGTTTAAGGGTGGGTATTTGTCACACAGCGGTCATTCTGTAGCATATCACCCCCCGATTCGTCGCTATGATACTCAGCAAGGAGACTCTGCAGTAGCAGCAGAGTGTAGTGAGATTCTTCTATCCGGAACCATGAGCCAGAGCCCTGCTTCATGTGTAAATGAGGCCAGTAGTGGTTTTAGATGAGGTAGCCTATTTATATAAATGGTACAGGGACCGGAGGGGGGGCAAATGAATGGAGACAGACATTTAAATGAAGTCTATTAACGGAACACTCTGCCATCCCTGACAGTGTGTGTCCCGGAGTCTGTGTGTGTGTGTGTGTGTGTCCCGGTGTCTGTGTGTGTGTGTGTGTGTGTGTGTGTGCGGTGGATCCCTGTACATTACAGGGATCGACAGCAATGACGTTCAACTTTGTCACACCCATCTGCCTGGAAGGTATGATTTACAGTGTCGCTTGCCATTCCCGGGAAAACGTGCTTATGGGTGCGGATTAAGGATCTCTCAGCAGGGTTCTGTAACTGTAAGGGAACCATGGCCATACACGCCTCACCTCTCCTATCATGCATATGTGTGGTGCCCCACTCTTTGGTGGCCTCCTGTTGGCCACACGCAGTCACTGCATTCGATGCTTCATAAACACTGAAGCAGCGCATTCTGCTAATCAGCTAGCTAGCAAAAATATTCTCTCTCTACCTGCTATTTATTTATTTTTTAAACGTCTCGGGGGATGCATGGATGGATAGGGCGGTGCAACATGACTTTTTGAGGCCTACCCCCTGTTCAGCGCACCTAGGAGGATGGGCTGAGAGTTTTTCCAGGATTTCTGGAAAGATCCGCGCAGGCAGCGAGCGCACATTGGCCAGATGGAGGTAATGTGTTCGGGAACAACGGCCCCGCTGCCTACTTTGACAGATTAACCAGAGCAAATATGGCCAGGAGCACTTAGCTCTGGGTGAGAAGCAGCCCCCAGGTCTCCCATTCTGGATCCCCGTGGCCATTAAGGCTCGTCTGCAGCAGCCTCTCCCTGCCCGTCCTCATTAGCGCCGACGGGAGGCTTCTGGCGGCCCTGATTAACCGGGCGGTCCACCTTCGCCGCCGTGAAGCCCGAATCCCGGGCCTCGAGTTAAACCGACGGCGGGTGGCTTGGGGGGTGCAATCTGCCATCGGCCCCTGTAGAGCCACAGGGATGGGGGGCGGGGGTCCATTTACACAGTAACATTTAATTACTGCAAAGCCGTTTCTGTAGGGTTCCTCAAAAGGAGAGAGATGGGGAGAAATAGAGCAGAGGACGTGTTACGTGGCCCATTAGCGTGATGTCTGACAGGTGCACAGGGTGGGGGGGGGGGGCAGACCCCCTCACAGGCATGCCTCCACAATGACATTAACACAGATTCGTCAAAGGATGATAATCAAGTGTGGAGGGATGATAATCCCTTCAAACACCGTGTCATTTCTCCAGGTCCAGTACGTTCCCCTCCCCCCCCCCCATAGGATCCATATGCCACCCCCATCTATCAGTCTCAGCGGCGTCGGACTCACCACGGTCAGGCTCCTGCGGGGACAGGGGTGGGGCTGGACTAACCGGCCGCGAATGGGAATGCGGAGCTGTGGGACGGCCTTCAGCTACAGGCAGCTAGGAAGCTGGCGGCTCTGGGATCGTCATGTCATGCCTGAGTCCAGGAAAGGACCAAGCAGGTAAGGCATCAAGTTTGGGGGCCACCCTCAAGCCCAGTAATATCCCAAGGCATACGTGTCATGGACAATGAGGGACAGGCATGGCTAGTCGATACTGATCGGCTGATGTGACGCTCGGTGGGTTTGGCTTTGGAGATCGGAAGGTCACTGTGTCTAATCCTGTTCTTGGCAGTGTAGCCACATCTCCTGGGGCACTGGATGGACAGCTCACCCTACACTCAGACCCCTCCCATCTCTCACGCTACAGTATGTATGCATGTCTTAAAAATGAGAGGGTAATGGGTATATGTGAAAAGATTCCAATATTCCTGTTCCCACACTCATGCAAATGGCAAATAAAGCTTCATTTTATAGACCATCTCAGGCGCCTGACGAACATTAAGTAGGTGATGTTAATGAAGAGAAAAGCCAGCTAAATGAATTGGCGTGAGCCTGACACTGTGACATCCACCGCGGATGTAAGCGTTAAGCACAGCAATGTCCTCAAAACAAACTGGGGTCGAAGTCATGAAACAGTTGTGAGGGGAGGTTCACACTGGGGGCGTGTGATGAAATATTCTCCGCTTGTGTCTTATCTCTGCCGCTCTGCCTCTGTTTACGGCTTGCCGGTGCCGAGCGCAATGGAAAGGCCATTACGGTAACCTAGCGATGCGCTGAAACGAGTGGCATGGGAACAGATGGAGGGAGAGCGTTTAAAGGAGAGCAGGCGCTCGCTCGGGAAGGACGGTGAGTCTGTCCACAGCTGGTCCTGTCTTCATGCTCTCCTCCCTGACAACGCCAGCAGGTCCGGATGACAAAATGGAGCCCATGACCTCCTGCTGAAGATGTTCTCCGCAGTGACTGAAATATCCACAGCGGGATCCACACAGAGGAGTGTGGTACAAACCCTTGAAGAACATCTCGCTGTGTAAATGAGTGAAGATGTGGGGAGGTTTAAGAGTTGAAGGGTTCCCCACGGCTGGCTGAAGGTGCAGGCCACACTCTGAGAGGGCGTTAGACGATCCACCGGTGCTTTTACATTTACATTTACATTTTTATTTGTTTTGCAGACACTATTATCCAAAGCGAGGTACGAGTCAGAGAGCAGCGTCAGACCATCTCTGACCCAATGGTGAAATCACTCTACCAACCTTCCAATCATTGCGGGGGCTGAGCTGAGCCCACCCACCTCCGAAGTGTAAAGCACGGCGTGCCCTTGAACCCACAAAATAAAGTGCCAGTTAAGCAGTGTGGGGAGATCACTCGATACACCACGAGAGTGACACGGTGTAAGGTCAGTACTGCCTCCAGCCGATGGAACCACATCGTGAGGATGAAGTACTGAGTGCCAGATGGCCGAATGTCACCTCATAATGGCCTCATGGATCCTGGGTGCAGACGATCCGGATCGGTCTGGACCTTTGACCGTCCGGCACACGCAATATCCAGAATCTGATATAAATATCACTTTTCCCTTGCTGCCATTTGAGAACGTTCCGGAAGGTGTCGTCAGCAAACACCTTTAGTATTAGGGTTCACAGTTGGGCTGCTGGAGCGTGAGCATGGCTACTGCAGTGCATAAAGAGCGTCAGCTGACAGTGACGCAGTGAGTGAAACAGCAGAGCCACAGGGTCGTCCCTGCAGGTGGGGGCTCTCCTTCCCTCTGTCTTTTCAACCCCTTTCTTCCCTTCTCTCTCCCTCTTTCCCTCCCTCTCTCCCTCTCTTTCTCCCTTCTTTCCCTCCTCGCCATACCTTCTCTCCGTCTGTCCCTCACACTCTTTCTCGGTCATCTTCCTGTCCGCAGGTGTGTTCTGAGTGACTCCTCTTGGATGCCCCCCACCCCGCCCCCCACGCAGAGGGGTAGATCACTCAGGTATCCTTTCTTTCATAATTAAACGTTATAATCACGCTTCATAAACACATACGATTTTAAGAGGAGTAGCATGAACATCCTTCAGGAAATCTAAGTTTCCTTAAAATCTTTTCCCTGTTAGGCGGTAGATGGGGGGCAGGGGTCATGGCTGCCTGTAATATCAGATTCAATGCTCCAGAGGGGTGGGGAGGGACTCAGGCTAAGAGGTCGACATGTGTGATGTCAGGGCCGCAGCGTGCAACTGACCCGGAGTGAGCGCAGATTTACCTCTCAGGGTGCCGCCATGCCGTCTGTTCGCTATCTTCGCATCCCAGTATGCATCTTGGGTGCTCGAAGCCTCTACTCATCGCATCATCGATTTCCACATCACTTGGCGGGGCGGCACCCGGATCGTGGGACCGTGCTGGGCTTCCCCACAAAAGGTCACACACACAGCCTGCGAGGGGGCTAGCATCCAGGGCTGAGTAGCCTCACACATACACACCTGGGAGTACAGCATGACTCACACTCAAACAGAGGTGTGTTCGTGCTGATGAGTGCAGGGATGCAGTTTGGCCACAAGACGTAGGTAAGCTGCAGTGCCACCTATCAAGCTGAACATACAAATCAGGACGTGGGAGGCACATTCCGGAAACTGCCACGGAAATAGGCAACGCAGGATAAAAAGTCTGCCGGGACATACTGCTTCCTCTCCTTATCTCTCACTACCCCTCGCACCTCTGACCCGATCAGGCGCTGACCCAGAACAGCAATGACCAGACCCACCACTGAACCGGCACTGACCCATCCCGGCGCTGACTTGATGTGGCGTTGACCTGATCTGGCACTGACCCGGCCCAGCAATGACCTGAACCGGCACTGACCCATCCTAGCGCTGACCTGGTCTGGTACTGACCCAGCTCAGCACTGACCTGACCTGGCACTGACTCAAACAAGCGCTGACCCAACCCAGTACTAATCTGATCTGGCACTGACCCAGCCCATTGCTGACCTGACCTGGTGCTGATCCGACCTGGTGCAGACCCAACCCACCGCTGACCTGGGTGTGACCCCTGATGGGCTACCTCTACACCCAGAACCAAGCCAATGCTGTCCTGGATGACATCTCTTGGTGGTCGCCATGGAACCACCGGTGCTGCTGGTACGGCGCTCTCTAACAGAAACAGTGAGCAGTGTACAAGAGTCCATTAAAAATGCAAATAAACTGATGCATTTCATGCAGCTGTGAACACTGCAGTCAAGCTCCCTTTCCTGAGTCATGATGCAATAGTTACATGATAAATTTTCAGCTGCTAACTGAGAAAAAGAACTAACAAAAACAACAACTAAATATAAACTAAAAAAAAACAACAGCACACAGCTTTTGGGTTATTTGTACACAATTAACATAAGTTCTTAGGAAGCTAGCAGCAACGGACACTGGGGAACAGAACAGGAAGTAGGAGTTTTGTGACAGGAAGCTGGAGTATGATTTCAGAATGACCTTGAAGGTGCCATTCTTTCAGGGTCTTTAAGGACACTCCAGCATGTGACGCACCTCAGATGTATGAACTCCAGCATGTGATGCACCTCAGATGTATGAACTCCAGCATGTGATGCACCTCAGATGTATGAACTCCTGCATGTGACGCACCTCAGATGTATGAAGTGCCAAAGATTCTGTTCCTTAGCACTGTGGGTGGGAAGACCTTCGCCGGACCAACACAAAGAGCACGGGCCATTTATATGTTAACACGCTTCTTTTTCACATGCAAGCTCAGTCTGCGTCAAAGACCTTCGTCAATCAATCAAGACCACAGAAAAAAATCCATCATCTGTTCTGTGCTGGATATTGATCCACCCAGTTCTGGGGTCTTTCCCTTATAAGGCAGGCTTTGACCTTTTTAATACGTGTTTTCTCCTTCGGCATTTTCCAGTCATTGTGTGACAGTGATAGTTAAAGCGAGTCACAGGTTTTGCTTACTTTCTACACACCTTCTGCTCACTGGAGTTTTATTGGCCACGATATTGACAGAAGTGGCAGAAAGCGATAAACGGGAGAAAGGAACCAAGATGGCTGCCGTTTTGGCTGTAGTACAGAGAGGAAGAGGGCAGGACCAGAGAGAGAATCAGACCGCTAGGGGACAGAAGGAGGATGGGGGCTCGGCTCGTAAGGGGAAAAGTGCTCGGTCTGGGTGGGTGTCAGAGCAGGAGAGGTAACCAGGAGCATTTACAAGGGGCAGGGCCTCAGGTTCACTGCTCCTGACTGTAAGCTGATTGGTCCCTTACCCTGTCACTCACCGATTCAGAACACTCCATTGGATAATGATAAGGCTGGCCCCGCTGTATGAATTATGGCACCTCTGATGTCCCACGCTACCATAAAAAAAAAGCAAAAACACTAGAACCATCCCAGGAGTAAAACATCTGAACAGGCCTGAAGAGAAAAGTGTCAAGATCTGGCAGGAACAGTTCAAAATGCCAAGTTGGCTTAACCCCGGGCGTGTCCCTGGAGGGAACACAAGACCCCTGAGATGGTCATTACCTAGTGTGTGAGAGGACGCAGTGTTCAAACATGGCGTCGGCATTTCCGGCATTCCCTGCCGTTAGTAATATCAGGGCCGCACTGGGAGAACATAGAGCAGCCTGAGGCCACATGGGAAATTGTGAGAACTCAAAATCATTAGGAAAAGCAATATGCCTCCAAAATTTCATCAGTTTTCTTGCATGATAAATGCCTTTCTTCTCCTTAAAATAAGCAGCATTTTGGCTGCCTCTATTCTGGGCAGATTGGCCTCAAATATAAACAATTTATCCAGGTTTTTCTCCTTCTCTCCATCAACTCTGTAATGAGGAAACCCAGTTCTGGTGCAGCCACACTAAACGACGGATTCGGATCCAGAATGTCACTCGCCAGCGCCCCCACCAGGTTGAGGAACGGGGAACTGGCACGTCGGACAGCGACACCGCGCCTCACGTCCTGAGGCTGGCTCAGGTGCCGGGCGGGAATGCAGCCACAGTCCTCCTTCCCGGACCTTCGATCAGACCTGGCTGCCCGTGTGACCCGGTTCGAGGTGTCTGCTTCTTAATCACAGAAAGAGAAAAGAACAGAACCTAATTTCATGAAAGATGGACAGAACTACAGTAAAAAAGTGAAATTCAATCTCAATCTCAGAAGTGGTTCTAGAAGTTGGACCCTTAACTTCTTCAGGAAACACAAGAAAATTAACTGAATAAAACCTTGAGCTGATTCCAGAACCGCAAATGGACTAAACTGTAATCCAAATAATAATTAAGCTGTTAAAAACAGACTAAAGACATTCTGTACTGGGTACAAATTCAGAACATGTTTCCCCGTTGATGTGTTATTTGTAGAGGAGATCAGGAAATCTCCGACCTTTTAGAAACAGAGGTGCTAGATTCTGAACATTATAGTCTGTCACAGACCACTGAACACAAGAACAAAGGGAAGAACCCCGAACAATTCAGTGGTTTCCTTCAAAATTTTGTCAAAGAGCAGGTCTGACACCTCTGGGTAAATAGCTACTATTTATAGAGCACCATGAAGTCACCGGAAGGGTACAGGAATGCGTGGGGTTTGCAGCCGCAGAGTAAAGCGGGCATATGACTGATGAACCTCACTGTCTTATCTAAGCAGGCTAGCTACAGCTCACACAGGTAACATATGTACACTTCTCCTCTCTCACCCCGGGAGTGACACCTGGTGAGCAGGGAGCCACGGCAACGTGTCAGGAGTGACCTTGGTGTCTGTGCGGTGACAGCACGGGCATCGCAGTCCGATTCCCAGGGGCTCAGACCGTTTGCTGCTCCTGCACCTTCGGCTATTGATGTTGGGAAAATGATGAATGAATGTCAGAAATCAGAAATGCAAATATATATGTTTGCTTTAAGAATAAGGTGAGTGTTCAGACAAAATACAGCAAAAACAAACACAATGAAGGAAATTGATGTGATACTGAGGTTGTATCGAAAGCACAGTGTCCCCTTAGACATTTTGATTGTATTCTTTTCTGTGAAAGTACAAATAGTTCACCTTTACCTCCGGATGCTGCTCTGGTTCCAGGTAAATACCAGGAACAGGAGTGGCTCATCAGAAACCAGGAAGGAGAGAAAACCTACTAGACAGCACCTCTCCAGGAGCGGACTTGGAGACCCCTAGTTTAAAGCATATGCAAATCCTGGGCATGCAGAGATGGGGCAGCGTCTGGCTCAGCGGGTTAGGATGCTGTGCCTGTGGTCGGAGGGTTGCCAGTTCTAATCCCAGGGTCAGCAGAGTGATGTCACCATTGGATGCTTGATCAAGCCCTTAAAATCCAATTGCTCCAGGGACCGGCTGATCCTGCTTTCTCAAAAACGTACCTTGCTTAAGAATCTGT